GGATTGGATACTTTAAAGGCAAAGATTGCAAAACACGGAATACGTAATTCTTTGTTAATAGCGCAAAGGTCAAATGAATTTATGGCACAAATGTTAGAGTGTAGCACATCCGTTCAGCCTTATACAAACAACATATATACGATGTCTACATTGTCTGTTAACTTTAGGGTTGTTAAGTCACGTTTATTACGAGATCTGATGAAAAGAGGTCTTTTGAATGAAAACATGTATAAAAGAATCATCAGAAACAACGGATCTATACAAGTAAAATATTCGTTATTTAACTTGGCCATTTTATAAAGCGATTTTAAATTACACCAGTGTTTAAAAAAATCGATATATCGTACTGAAATGAACTTTTCTCATTTCTGTCTACAGAATATTGAAGATATACCCGAAGATTTGAAGCTGCTTTACAGGCAAGCTAGGGAAATGCCACAGAAACTGATCTTTGATATGGCAGTTGCTCGCGGACCTTTCATTGATCAATCACAATGTTTAAATATTTCTACCGAGAATCTACCAGAGAAGCTTGGATCGGTGCACTTTTTTGCTTGGAAAGCAGTAAGTGATCTTATGAAACGTGCATTGCACAATCATTTTGATTATATATTTATTTAATCTGAAATGTACATTTTTACTTACAGGGTTTAAAATCTAGCATGTATGAAAATGAAATATGAATGAAATAATTAACGATGAAGATCAGCCGTTTAAGCAAGAAACATAAACCGAAAGATGAAGCACATGCAAGTTAAAATTTGTTTTTGCAAAAATTTAAATATTTATAATATCGTTTTTAACATATGTTTCTAATTGAAAAATATACAATGTATACTCTACACACATATATGTATTATATATATATAAAATATTTTGATAATCCAATTTTAATAAAGTATTATAATAAAAATATGTTTATCAGTTTTAGTAAAACAATTCGACAAAACAAACAAGTAGTATAAGTCAACATCAAGCCAAACAATGTTTTTTTTTTTTAGTTTTTTTTAGTTTTTGCAGATTCCACTGCGAGGCGTTATTGTATGCTGCATACTGCTGCATACAGAAATTCTAACCACACTAGAAGCATATGAATAAATGTGAAAATTGAGTTAATTGACATAATATTATCCAAAAATTTATAGTTTTATATTGATTATCATATAAATATTCATTTACACAAATAAACGTATATTTGTGCTGTGTTTTTAACAATTCTTTTATCATAAAAGTCAAATCTAATTTAGGTTAATTTGTGTGTAAATATAATTTTTAAAGAATTCTTATTTTTTTAAAATGAAGACAGCGCGATATAAAAAAACCCGTAAAAATCTTGGGTTTTATATACACAATTATAAGTTTCATCAACCATTTCAAGTTCTCATTGATGGTACATTTGCATTTGCAGCGTTACAGGTTAGTTTATCATTTTTAATTTATTATTAGATTTCAGTGTTAAATATATATTTATCTGTTACATTTTTGTTTATATTAATATTTTTTCAGAACAAATTCAACATACATGATCAGCTCAAAAAATACTTTCAGTCTGAAATAAAGTTGCTAACAACACCATGCATTATTTGTGAAACTGAAAAGCTTGGTACAATCTCTGCGGCAGTTAATGGTGCCATGCAAATAGTAAAGCAATTTATTATACATAAATGTGGACATGAAAAGACATCAATAAGTGGATCAAGTTGTTTACTGTCTATGATAGGAAAACATAACAGTTCAAGGTATATTATAAATATTTTTTGAGTATTAAAAATATGATCCTGACTGTGTGATTTAGTCTGTTAAGAAATAACAATTTTTTAATAAAAATTTTAACTGGCTTTTTGTTCCAGATATATTATTGCCACGCAAGATCGTGAATTACAAGATAAGTTGAGGACAATTCCAGGAGTTCCTATAATTTATTTGCATGGAAAGACACCCACTTTAGAATCTGCTTCAGAGGCAAGCCGTAATTATGCTGAAGCTATGCAAAAAGGTTTAGGAATGACTGCATGGGAAAAAGAAAATGTAAAAGCATTGCGAAAGCAAGCAGGAATGGCAGAAGAGAAAAAAGATAAATTTAAAAAGAAAAAGAAAAAGGGAGGACCAAATCCACTCAGTTGCTTAAAGAAAAAGAAAAAACCAGAAACGATAATAAGCAAAAATAATACATCTGGTAAAGTCAGAAAGAAAAAGATTAAAATAGCATCACACATTAAAGAAGCTTTAATAACAGAACTGAAAAATAAACAGGAATAAAACTATGTAGATAATACGATTTTTGAATTTCGTATTCCTTATATGTATAGAAAGAAAAATGTCAAAAAAAGGAAAATAAAGAAAAAAGGCATTTTTATATATATGCAATATTTTTTGATTTAAGAATAAACTATTTATTTAAACATATCTATTCAAAACTAGAGAATCCTATTAGCTCCATTTTATTCATACAGAAAATGTATGGTTTACGTAATTTATTACATGTATGTATGGTTGTTTTACATATATGATGAATTTGAAAGATTTAAATACATAGATTTTTTAAACGTGAAACATGTGAGTTTAGAAAAATTCACATATCAGACGTTTAGAGTTTCATTGAAGAACTTTCAATAATCCTGCAATGTACACATAATAGTATTGATGAAACTTTTGTTATAGATGAGATGAAATTACTTATTTAACAGATATAGTTTACAATGTTTGATTTTATTAAGAAAAGATGCACATGTCATCCTAAGGTAATTTAAGATCGATAAACATTATGAAAATACAGTACTATAAGAAAAATAAGTAAAAATTATCAGAAAAAATGTACAATGTCCTTCCATACAATATCGAGCAATATTGCACAATAATGGATTTGCTACTTTCTTAAGATAATATCTAAACATTGAACACGTAAATCTCTGGAATTAGGAACTTCCACATGTAGAAAGTATAGAAATGTTGAAAAATAATTTTTTCGATATAGGTGGCACAGTATTATTTACAGCCTTTGTTTATAAGAACTTTCAGACAGTTTAATACTATATTATCGTATGTGTACATATGTAAGATAATAATAAGATAATAATAGTTAAATAGTGGCAGATTTACATTTTCCAAGAATTGAAACTAATGTGAAAAAACATTCTTTTCAAGAAATGGTTTGGAAATATATATTGCGTTTATTATTAGTAAAATTAATAAAAGTTAATAAAACTTGTGTTAAAAGCCACACAATAAAAAAAAGTAGATGCATAAACATAAAAAATGTTATCAACAAGTTTCAATTAACACAATTATTATTTTACAATAACCATGATATAAATTGAACTGCAAACGTCAATTTAAAAAACACTATATATTTGAATACATCAGAACCCCTTAGCATTTCCATGAAATTTATTGAGCTTTATTAGCTTATGAATAAATCTGCCACTATAATTTTTCTATCAAGTATAAATATTTAAATTCAATCATATAAGTAAGACAAGTTCTACTTTGCCATTTAACTGAATATTATAATTATCATGTGGTGTTACTCATTTCAATGTAGATATTTGTGTCCTAATTCACAAATTGCTAGTCACAAAAATATAGAATTTGTCTTCATGGAAAAAATTTCATTTCTAAAAGATTATTCAGCAAAAAATATTTTAATTAAAAACTTTTATAATCTTACATATAACTGTGATCCGCATTTAATGTAAGAGGGGTCATGAAATTTATGCATTGTCTTATTTAAATACAATTTTACGAAATTAGAAGAAATATTGTAATTTTACAATCAGTTTATAAGTTTACATTTTGAAAATTCAGGTTTACAGTCATCAAGTAAATGTAGAACTTCATGCAGACTTTAACAACACGAGACAAAAAAATATTTCTGTTATAAGCATTAGTAACGCATATTTCCTAACACATTTGTTGATTTCACGATGTTAACATATCGTTAAAACAGCAAATAAAGAAAATTACTAAACTTAAAACATTCCTCTTTAAATTTTGTCTAGAATCAAATTAAATTTACATAAAAATTGTTAAAAAAATTTTGAAATCTAAGCGCATAAAAAATTAATAACGATTTATCGCATATTAAACACATATATCTTGCAATAAAATTAAATCCAATCCGAATGTTTAATAAAGTAGCATGAACATACTGATGGAATATTCGCACAGTATTTGTTCTACAAGTTGAATTACTGTCAGTCTTAAACATGACTTTTCTGAATATTGCTTTTAGACGAAAAGCTAGTCTTTAAACAAAACATATAAAATCTTATGTTATATATATTTAAGCTCACGAATGTGGCGATCAAGGATGCTGATTTAACAATGCACGTGCAGCCATAGCGAGCATTTTCATGCGGCGCGCCGATCGATGATTCGGATTGCTTGTTACAAATGTAGCTAATTGAGTTTGCAGGGTCACTAATACGGTGCCCATATGTTCTCGTGTCACAGGATCGTTTGGATCCAAATTTAGTATTGCTTCTTCCAGCCACCTATGTGCAAAAATAAAAAAAAATAATAAAATAAATTTTTGTGTAAAATATTTTCTATCGTTAACAAATTATTTCTCATAACGTAACTTAATTTGCATGCGTATCAAAATAATTACCTGTGTTTCAGTTCAGTCCGATGCCCTAAATCAGCGGATAGCTGCTGTACGAGTGAAAGAATCACGGGTTGCTGCAAGATGCATCTAGTACCTTGACCCTGAGCTCCTGCACACGAAAATACTCTCGCAGGCTCTGTTTTCTCACACACTAGTACTACCAATCCTAAATCGCTCGCGCTCAGAGCCTGTTGAAAAGCGGCATTGAATTGACCTCTTTGAAGAAGGGACATGACACGAGCTTGAGCATCAGCTACGGCGGTTACGGGTATAGCAGGTGTCGTCGCTCTTGATCTGCATTACAAGAAATAATTCATTCGAATTGATCCACGTTTGGCGATGTTAACTTTGAATCTGTGATATATCTCTTACCGTGCGCTAGAAATCTCTGTAAGTTGCTGGTTCAGATTTTCCCGTATGGAATCGCGAACCGCACGAATGCAATTATCCTGTATTGTTGTTGAAACTCTGTTCAATTCAGTCTGTAATTCTTCACGCACTAATGCTGACAGCGCTTCACTTAGCTGTTCATTGCGACGCTTCAGCTGCTTATCGACGACGGCGTCGATGTGCTGCAAGTCTACAAAGAGAATGTTGTATAGCAAACTGGAGAAATATTCAATTATTCCGATGACAGATCGATAATCTACTTACATTCGCGAGTACCCTTAATAAAGGTATCCTGCAATTGCTTGAACATAACTTGGTACATCTTTTCCATGCCAGGCAGGAGGACAGTTGTGAACGCTTCTTTAAAGGCAGCATCCAGGGCTGGTTTAGCCGCATTTGCAGCCGTCAAAGCTAAAGCGTCCTTCACGTGCGCACTGCTTATCAATTCAGTTACATTCTTCTGGAAGAGCTCGTCCATTTGATTCGCGTCTAATCTCATTTGCTGTTTTAAAGGTTTCACCGTCTCTTCGATTGTGCGCGGCAAGGTGTTTTCGATCTTATCTTTCACCACGGTCTCAAATGTGTTTAGGAATTCACGCTGACGAGCCATTTGATTGTACAAAGTTTGCTCCAGAGTCGCGTTTTGCTGCTGAGACATTCTCGCGAGCGTGGACTCTAATCGCGTGGTTGCTGGCGATTCCTGCCGCAATCTAGCGATCTCCGCGCGCAACTCTTTCAGCTCTTGATACTGGTCTTGAGTGATCTCTAAAATAGATTTCAAATTGTTGTTCATCTCGATATTGTTGAGGTCGTTTGCTCGCCAAGACGCTCCAGCGTCATTGCCCGAAAGGGACGCCGTCTTCGGTTCGTCGTTCGTGTTCTGCCTTTCTACATTGGTCTCATCGTCTTCGGCGAACTCCTCCGATTCTTGCATCGCTTGCACGTCTTTGAATAAAACCATAGGAATATTAGACCAATCTTCGTTCGTTTTCATTTCCGGCTTGCTGTCGATTTCAGTTTCTTCATCTGGCTTAGTAAGGGATAAGATTTCTCTTACTTCTCTGGATGGACTGCTACCGCAGCTAGCAGGGGCCTGTTCTTCCATATCGTTTTCCTCGAGTTCTTTCTGCGGATCGGACGCGTTAAGAGCTTGCACTGCTTGCGCGAGAGATGGACTGCCGGATAACACCTTCTCCAGCTCCGGGCTTCCGGGATTAGAGTCTAATTCGTTGTTTTCCTTTTTCGCGGGCGAACTGAACGCGTCAGGCGTCATCAGGTTTAAGCCACCGGTATTATGATTAATCGTCGTTTCAATTGTGCCAGATAAGGAACGATCTTCTTCGCAATTTTCGCCGGAAACGCCATTGTGATTGACAGTGTCTGGTAAGTCCTCGGGATAATCCAGCGAATCGTGAGTGTTGATACGACAGTTGCTCGCTTGTGAAGCAGGTTTGAAGGCAATGTTACATTCTTGCAACGACTTCGGTTGGACTAGATACATGGAGATGACAAGATGTTCGTCATTCTCTTCGATTTCTTCGCACAGATCTTCTAGAGATTCACCGGTCGTTCGTATTTTACGTTGGTCGGCTTCAACAATTCCGAAACTCAAAATTGGATATGGTAAGAGAAACTCCGACACCGTACTCACGCATGCTACCGCTTCACCTTTGTCCTTTGAAAGACTCAGTATATATAAAACTTTATTGTATATGTCGGATAAGAATAGATATCCAGCACTAAGATCTAAACCCGCTTTCAATACTGGCATCTTGCCCGTGGAAGGATTCGGGGCGAACTTGATTGTTTGCAAACAAGTCCACAGTTCGCACGACCATACTTTCAGTTCCGAATTATTGTCACAGCCGGTCACAGCGAACCTCCAAAACTGAACCCTGAGAAATAAGCATTTTGTTTGTATCATAAATCTATCTAGTGGCCACGTGCGCGTTACATCAAGTTGACATTTCGAGAAATACTCACTCGGGTTGATAGTTTTTGTGATCATCAAGGAAAAATAGGCATGAGATAGGTCTTCCATTGTGAGGCCTCCATTGATGTAAACAACGCGGTTGCGGTTGCCCATGAGAATTGCTATGCATGAAGACCTGGAAGAACTTTACTTCTCCATCTGTACTAGCAGTAGCTAATGCAGTTCCATCTGGACTAAGCATCGCCTCGATAATTGTTCCAGAGTGCTGATCAATTTCCATCATACCCCCACTTTCTTTAACATCTGAGTTTGTTGCCTGATTTAGGACGGAAATTAAAAATGTTGTCTTATCATGCTCAATTATAAGTAAAAACCTGTGGGTGGCGTGTACACTTACTTCTATCGATCGAAATCTTGCTGCTACTACTGCGACTGACCACAATTCAACCTTAGAACCACGAGTTAAAACTAATAGTTTTGATACTTCATCTCCATCTGAGATATCATCCTCCGGGATGTACGGGCACCAAATGACTCGGTGACTAGTCGGGGAAACATCCTCGGCGTCTACTTGTAATACTAAACTACATAATAATTCGGATGGCGTTGGCTCGATTGTATGTATAAAAAGGGATCCGGTATAATCGACACATGCTAGAATTGCATTTGAAACGTGAGCGAATGCAAGATCTTGAATAGCACCACGCATTCCTCGCAACAGAGCTCTATGTTCTAATTCCTTGTATACAACACGAACAACCCCACCACCGGCACCAACTAAGAAATAAAAAATTTATCTGTGACAACTCAAGTTTACTCTATAGTAATCGCAGTTACTTGGAGATATAAATTACATAAATATTTAATTAAAAAGCATTGGAAAGCATTCATATATAAAATAAGCAGATAATTTTGCAAAAATTGCATTAAATATTTTACCTTTTATACCATAGGCTAAATATTTTCCAGATACATGAACCGCCAACAGTTGACCAGTGTAAAGGTGATGATCCCATTGAAAATCAACAATATTTTTTAATTTTACTTTTGAACTACCGTGATCATGATCACCAGGAGAAGGTACAATAGTCACATCAGTGCTACATAATTCTACAGAATGCTGATCTTCTTGTCCATTGAACTGCCTGTAAGGATAAAATATATTATACATATTTGAAACCATAAAAAGGTTATAGTTATTTAATAATAATATTCTAGTTCAGAGATGGGAATTAGTTGCAACTTTTGGCTCGATTTTCTGATTGACGCTTCCTGCCTCCTCCTTGCCGCTCACATGCTAGCAACGAGTCGCCAACGCGCTAACAACGCGCGTAATTAAGATGCACGATATTCAGCCTCAGGAATGTCCATATCACAAATGCAACAAGATAATAAATATGGGATAAACATAGATTTCCATATCACTTGTGAGGTACTATTGTTGAAGAACGCGTCAATAATAGTACCTGACAGGTGATGTGAAAATCTATTGTCCCATATTTATTATCTTGTTATATTTGTGATATGGACATTCCTGAAGTTGAGTATAACGCATTTTAGTTACAGGTGTTGTTAGCGCGTTTGGTGACTCGTTACTAACATGCGAGCTGCAAGGAGGAAACAGTAGGCGTCAATCAGAAAATCGAGCCGAAAGTGCAACTAATTCCCATCTCTGTTCTAGTTAATAGAAAACAGAAAATTAAATATAAAAAAACATAATAAAAGGGTATGCTGTAAATATATTCCAAGCTTGCTTCTCACATGGAAATTTGAGACAGTTTAAAACAATTAAAATATAATGCTTCAGATAAGAACTATTACGGTACAGATAACAGAGATACTCATAACAGAGGCACTCTGATTAGTATAACATATGACATCATCTTTCATGCAGATTATTAAAGAAAGTTTCAGAGTTTTCAAAGGCTTGTAGTACTTATTAAGCTAAGTACATGCTTAATCAACAAATCTGTAAATCAAGTTTTTAAAAATAAGCAACTTTCGTATTTAAATAATAGCCAATTACTTAATTAATGGATACATTTATATCATAAAAATGAGAAATTGTTATTTACATAAAAAATGAGATTTGCAAACTCATGTTGACTGATAATTTTTTGAGGTTTGTTGCTTCAAATTAGAAACAAAAATTTTTTTACCACCTTGCTTATTTTTCAGAGAATTTCATGTAAGAACTATAGCAATAATATTTTTACTTGGTTTTACCATGATATAACAGTGTCCATGCACTGAGAATAAAAAAAAAGGTACATCTGATTTCATTTTAACTTACACTGTCTGTTGATAGTCAATGTGCCTCATATTGCCCTCCCCGGACTTGATCATGTCGCCAGCCACGTCTCTGTAAAACAGTGAATTTACTGCATTTACGCATCTCATATTACGCGCTTGTGTCGTGTGCAGGCGATTCCTAACCCTAGCCGGTGGCATTAACATGCTTCCGCGCATTGATATCGCGAGATTGTATTGCGTTTCCCTCACCTCTCAGGCATAAATACAGCCGTTTACCGTCGCTCACTCAAGACGAATAAATCAATTAGCGAGCAACCATGCGCTCATCACCGGCACGTTCACGTCGCCAGAGCGATATTAGCAGGCACGCGAAGTAATTCGGCAGATCGCAACGAAAGTGAAATGTCAGGCGGCCATCACCCACTTGTCAGTGAAACGAAGCAGAAGTCAGTTTTACCAATCCAGCCAGTATTGCCACAACATATTTCCCTATTGCAACCAAGATTGGGAATTTGATTATCTGCGTTTACCTGCACTGGTGCGGCAAAAGAATACAAAGTTGGCAACACTTTATTTGTTCAAAAATTTCGTTAATCGCGCGTATAATTGTGACGACCTTTTTGCGGTTTATATAGGCTTCAATATCAAATTTTATTAACGTATGTATTATAGTATTTAATTCTATCCATATAAACTTACATATTTGCAAGGAATCGTCCCATAATGTAATTCAAAAGATGCGATATCGATATCGATCGAAGATTCCGCGACAAGAAATCATCATTTTCGTAATAATGGCGGATGTGTGAACAGTGCACACGGGTATCGTCGTCGGCGAATGCGATTTTTATGCATCTTTTGTTGCCGAAACAGGTACTTTTGTCTAATGAAAATGTTAATCAAAGAGTTCTAACAAGTTTGATGTTATTTCTTCCAACTAACAGAGCATTTGCTATTTGTTTCAGATAGTTGGCGTAGCGAGTCGGAGATGCTTCGTTGTATTGCGTAAGAAATCAACGCTAGCCGTAAGTATTTTAAATATATAAGAAATATCATGGAATATATTTTTGCAAATTGCAAATCACAAGATTTGCGCTGCATCTTTAAGTATATTTTATCTGTATGGAACATGTATGGAATGGAAAATCACTTCGATCGGATCCTGAAATTCTAAATAAATTTTCTATTAAAGCTTTAAAGGTTAAATTATATAAAAATTTAAGAAATTGTCAAAAAATAAAATAACAATTTTCAAACCTATCAATATATATATAATTTAACGACTATAAAAAATAGAATTTGAAAATTAATTCACTTCACAATTTGAATTAATGCGCTAATTCTTAGATACACATAAAATTATAAAATAATTTGCATAATTATTTCATTTATCTTTATCCAACAAGATAATATTGCCTGAAGCAACGAAGCAATTTGAAATCCTGAAAAGTCGGAAGCTTATTGATAAGAAAGTCGTACGCGATAAATTTACACTTTATTTCTTATATTATATTACACTATAGAGAGAAACAGGCTTTTTCATTCACGTGTCTATCCTTTGGAAAATGGCAGTAGTGCTCAAACGTACGTAGACCCAAAAAAAGGTGGCAGTAAATTCAGCTAATGTCGGATACTCGTAGCGCTTAATGACTACACATATACGTTCCGGACATCGCCACGAATCACGTATATCCATCGAAAGCGAGAGCAGAAAAGTGAATCGGATTGTAATATATATACTATACTCTATAATATACTATATTCTATGTCGAATCAACTTGATTATTAATTTAATTAGCATCAATTATTAGCAATACAAAATTATCAATATAATTATTAGCAATTCAAAATATTCATAAGTCATGGTCTTTATATTCATGGTCTTTACATTCATGTGAAAAGTAGAAGCATTAAAAGGAAATCACAAGAATACTTTCTATTTAATGCTACAATAAATAAAAAAAAATCAATATATAAAAATTTTTCATCAAGTAAAAACAAGTAACTACTAGTAAAAAATAATAAAAAGGTAATATTTATTCAAAATTTGTTATTAACTCTATAATGTCTTAACATAGAAATTGAAGATATTCCCTCTATAATAAAAATTATATAATACAAAATTATAATTATATAATAAAAATTCTGATTTTATATCCGATTCACGTTTCGCAATTGCGTGTGCTTTCGTTACGACAAAATAGCTAAATGTTTTTGAGACTAAACGCGAGGCTCTTCTTGGAATATTACCGGCGCACAGTATCGGCTCTCGTTGCCGCAAACTGTGCGCCTGAATTTTCCAATAAGTCCTCGTCGTTCAAGCGAATGTCTTACATTTTCTCGTACTGCCGCATAACAAGTAATTTTTGGGTCTTTCCGTATCATATAATGTTACACAATGACAAAGCACACTGAGACACTGCGCCAATCCAATAGAAAAACAATATCGTCGTTATTGTGCCGTTAGTATTCACAGATCGAAGGGACGTAGAACCGCAAGGATAGACTTCCGTTTGTCCTCGCGATGCGATTTTTCATCCTCGCCGTTTTTCGTTTCCTCTAGAGCTCGATCGCTAGTAGGTAACGAAACCTTTAAGATTTTTTTCTCGATTACAACTTTTATTTATAAGCGTAGTATTTCGATTCTCTAGTGGCTAACCGCATTAATCGTCACGGAAATTATGCGCAATTACGGTAAAAAAACAATGACGACCATGAGCGATCGGTGCACGGAGAGAAGCTAAACCATTTAGTTTGCAGAGATAACGTTGTAACGCTTTGAATTATTATTAAATTATTGGAATTATATTAAACTATGCTATTTCTACTCTTGTATTTTTTTTTGTCTAAAATCAATTAGCTCTCACGTACTGTTCTTTGATCTATTTCGCGTAGGAAACACATAAAGTAAAATCTAAATAGTCGCGTGTGAGATATGCTGCAAAAACTTCGATTTAAACGTTACAAAAGATTAAAATCTCGGTCTGCACGGAGATATGAAAATTTAAGATCATTCTCTTTTTATTGTTACATGCGTTTATATCGAGATGGTCCCTGCGGGATTTTAAATTGTATTCGTATATTATATTTCTTTGGGTGGCGTATATATATATATAATTACAAAAGCATAAAGTTCCATTTTTACTACAATTAGAGCTTCGGAATTGATATCTCGGACTTTTCATATCAACAAAACGTGTTTAACAAGTGCAAGGAAATAGAATTTATACGATTCAATAGACGATACACTTATAATAACTATGTCGGCTACGTCCTTTCTTAGCATTTATACGGAAATCTTGAGAAATGATATAGAATCAATCATCATTGATATACGAAGCTTGAATCGAAGTAACAATAGCGGGAAAGAAAGCATTCTTTATACTTAAAATTGGCATAGTAAAATGTAAGATATAAGGGACTTGTGTAATAAGAGAACGTATATTAACGGATTTATAAAAAAATTTAGTTATAATTCTCTAAAAGCACGAAGTGCGGAAACAATTGAAACAATTGTAATTATTAAAAATAACAAGAGAGATACAAAGAGACGCAAGTTACATATATATACATTTACTATCGACGATTACAATCTTGGGATGAAACGATACCCATCGATCGCATGATCTCTCACAATATATTTTAACAACTAAACATTACAACGCGCTACGCAATCGTACTCGCTCGTTGATATGCTTATGATATATTGCTCTGACTTAGATGTAAAGTATATATGAAAAATAAATAGAAATAAATACATCGAATAAATAAATAAATAAGTCCGTAATTTATCTCTAAGCGTTCATTCTTTTTACCACTAAGCTTTGGTACAAAAAATCTAGAGTTAAATAGAGGAAAGTATGTGACGCGTGATTGACGGACGGATTCGTGCAAAGGAGAACCAGAATTAGGAATATATCACATATCACAAGCGAAAATGTCGGCCAGTCCAGCCCGTCTCTCTGTTTGCTCATTCTCTCTACGCTAGAAGTGCTAATTGTTCGGCGATGGATCTCGAAAGATATCATGTCCGCATGTCCGCGCTGAGTTTGAAGCGGTTGTCACAACTCCACTCTCGTTTGCACGACGCCGCACAATTCGCCGTGTCAACGTGTTATTCTTGTTCTATTTGTTGCGTAAATACATGCGCCCGTTGCTCCGTGCTCGCAAGAAGCGACGGACTGAAAATTCGGAAAATGCGGAAGCTCTCGCTGGACGATTGGCGCTCGCGCGAAGCGATCTGTGACTTTTAACTGGAAAGACGACATCTTTGCAAACGAGTTTTGTCCCGCTAAATCTGGAAAATACTTCAATCGCGAATTGAAATGAAATCCATCGACTTGCGGCGGAAAGACAAGTTAAGCGATAGAGCTGCTACGGCGTATCGTACGACAGATACTTTTCCGCTCGGTGTTCTTACTTTTTTGAGATTACCAAAAAAAGAAGAAAAGAATGATCGGAAGTTACTAGCGTTCAAGATGGTCGAGCCTATCGCTTGGCGTATCTAAGACTAGGACATGAAATCCCGTTTACTTTGAAAAATACTGTACACAAGAATACCTAAGGCGCATTTTACGCTCGCGTTCTTCGCGTTTAGACGAGTATCGAAGCTTGCGACTACGTACGATGGTACCGATATATTCCCGTAACAAAGAGGAATAAATGTGCCGGACGATGACAAGACTGGGTAGAGACAATGTGGAATTGATTCTTTACACTCGATAGCATCCATCCTGCCACGGTAGAAGCGTAAAGCCGCCGCGTTCACCTCCTTAAAAACCGGAAAAGCCTTTGCTTTTGTCCGGCGGCGGTGCCATCAGCATTGGTACTTGATTTTTGTGCGTGATACGAATCTGTGTCAGAAAGATACATTTTTACATTTTCTTTCTACTCAGCTTGCAGCTTATTATTATTTACGCGTAAAGCTGTAATTTGGTATAAAATTACACTTTTATTAAGACCGAATTTAAGATTAACGAAACAAATATTTTCTCCTCTCTTTTCTCGTCGAGTGTTCGATAAAGTTTTTGTTAAATGAAAACAAATTCCATCTCACACGTTATTGTTGAAAGAACTCAAATAGTTTCACTATCTTTCAGCTCACCGTGCACGGGCCCTGCATCCAGGGTTCGCCATCGATCTGCATGGGGAATCGCTTACTCGTGGTGATAGTGACGCTACTGCACTGAGCCAGCCTTCTGCCGGAATGTCGAAGTCCCGTCTTCACTTGACCCATATGCAAGCAGTTCTCCAGACCGATTACCTCTATGAGATTGTCCCCGATGTCTGCGGATAGAGTAAGTGCACAACGTTATCGAAGAAAATGTTCCACTTATACGCCTGCGACGTGCAATCGAAGCCGGACGGTATATTTGTAAGGATTGACTGTTTCACGCGTTACGCGCGATTCTCTCACCTTGAATAGCGACGGTGAGATCCACGGAATTGAAGCTACTCGTGCTGAGTTCTTTGTCGGGTCGCTTTTTCCGTTTACCGAGCCGATTCCGCGTGTGATGCTCGCCCCAGAGATTCGAGCCCCCGTGAGTGAAAGGAATGTTCAGCAATGCGACTCCTTGCAGAGATGGCCCGTGCGCCAAATCCAGAGGTGTGCCGTCGCACTGTAATCGATGAAATGCATGTAACGTCACGAATTCCGTTGATTCCGTCGTGACTGATTGATTGCGGATCTGACTGCGCGTATTCGGGACGAAGTTGAAACGGAATCGTTTAATTAACTCTCGATCAGCGCCGGTGATTCGACGCTGAATATTCGGCATTCGAAGTTGCTAATTTATCGATTCAACGAGTGGATTACGAAATTGCGCTTACGATTATTTCGAGATCCTCGTGAAGGTTTTTACAGCTGGCAGCGAACTGCTCCGTGGTTGCGTATTCGAAATACCACAGCTTGTTCTTCATTCTGCTGTTAAACTTCTCCGGATTCTTCTCCCTCTCCATGTGGAATTTCACGCAAATAGCCGCGTCGACGCCCACCGAGAAGTAATTGTTAATAATATTGTACGGTATACAGTCCTGATTCGGTTTCTTCTCGTCCGTCTGATCTTGAACGTCTATTTGCCAGCGATCCATCATCACCTGCGTCGCCTTCTCTATTTTCTGCGAATCGTTTAGGTCTCGTGTAACAAAAACTTTTGCGGTAATCGGATTTTGGACAAGTGATCGTCAAACATTTTACCGAGCGTTCAAAAAATACATAGTAATGAAGGTGCTTCGCAATCGGAATATCACGTGGACAATCTGCTTTACCTTAAGCACTTTGTGCACCGCTTCCCCTTCGTAACCGCCGCCCCAGCGTAAGCACCTGGCGAGATCGTTGCCAGTGCCGAGAGGTATAACGCCAACGGCGGGTTGTTTCTCGAAATTCACGCGATCTGAATTAAATAAGCAACGATTAGAGTGCAACTATATGCGAATATTAAACTATCGGTTTATTAAGAGGAAATGATGAATTCATACGCGATCGATTAATAGCAATGCACTAAAATTCAGGTCATTTGCGGCTTACATGGTATTCAATGAATCTAGCCAGCGTATTTAATCCGCGAAATCAGCATTGCAAAATTTATTAGAAAGCCCCGCTTTTACGTGCCGCCGTTATACGATTATTATGATTCGTTTTACTCGCGATCTCCACGAATTTCATTAAGCGGCTGCGTCGTAATTAAACGGCGATGCATACCCATGGTTTCCAAAACCCAGCCGACCGTTCCATCGCCGCCGCAACAAATCACCTTAAAATTCTCCACGTCCTTGAACAGTTGCAGACCCTGCATAGGCCCGCCGATCGCTAAATTGTGGACCTGCCGTGGGTTCAGAATGTATTGAAATTTCCGCAACATTCGCTCCCCTTGTCGGCCTCCCGATTTCGGATTTATGAATACCAAGAGCGGCATCGTGTTATCCGGTGGCGTAATTTGAAAGGACATTGCCGGCTGCTGGCTCGACGAGGTGCCGCAACTCAGGAAACCACCCTATTAAATTCATCGTGTTCATTCGCGTGTCGTACAACATTCTGTTCTCCCTCCACCGAACGCGATTTCGTCATTCTCTTTTAATTCCAAAACTCGTAATTATCTTCTTCAACTTTACGTTTAATTAATTGTAAATTTCTTCGCGTTCTTTATTATATCTCAAGTTTTATACATTTGATTCGTTAACGTAGCTTTTTAATTCAAGATCTTCTATAGAAGAAACTTAATTATAGTTTTTTTGAATAATTAAGAATTATAAAGAACGTTACGTTTCATTTGTTTCTTCGCGAGACGGACGTTTCGACGATAAGAGACAATTAAAGCGGATTATTGTACTTACGGAACTGGCCGATGAGGTGTCCTGACCGTGTTTGCTACCTCGTTTGCTGTCCCTCGATAACGATCTTTGTCTGTCGAGCACCACGGGACAGATCGCTGTAGGTGGAAGGATGTGCACCGCATGCTCGCCGAGCGTACATTCCGCTCGTACTTGCGACGCACATCTATTATGCAGCTGTAACATTCCCATGGAAATATTCACACAGACGTATCACGGATACTCTCGCATCGCTTCAATTACGCGGTCTCATACAAATTTCATTTTTTTTTTTTTAAATAATTCCTGAATTAAATAATGCAGTATCTTAATCCGCATCATTAATTAAAATTCGCTCGCGATCGATGAAACAAGATAGTCGAAAATTATTTATCTAATTTTTTTTTTCATTATACACTCGCAGTATTCTTTTATATTTTTTTTCACGCTGCCGCGCATATATTTTAGACTCCACTTTGGACGATGAATTTGTGTTCTATTAATTTCGAAAGATAACTCACAGTTAATTGGCACCATCTGCAGTGCAAGCCGGTGATGCCATTGTAACTCTTGATCGTCTTTCTGCACTTGGAGCACTTCCCGTGACAATTCCCCTCGACCCAATGATGTACCATCGTCTGCGATGTCTTTTTACTTTTCACGTAGGTGGCTATGCAGGAGGCTGGCGCTCTTTGCACGCATCTCTCGTGCACCGTGTATTTGCAAACTGAAAAAAAAAGAATGCCGTTACATAACGTTGGTCTTGAATAAAATACGCGGTACTTCCATTTTGTAGAAGTGTCAATGATGTTTCTCTTACAATCTCGTGTTCGTGCACGCTACACGCCGATTCGAGACTCGTTTCAAAATCGCGCGATAAAGACGGGAAATATCAAGGATTTCTTACTCACAAACGCAACAAAGCCCTTTCTTGCCAAGGCCAACCAGCATATTTAGACAGAGGTTGCAATACGCGGGTTTGCTGAAATGCTTCAGTCTCCACAGATGGTTTCCGTCCTCCTTCACGTGGGAATCCAGACCCAAAAGAACTAACAGGGGGATCGTCGTGAGGCCACCTCTTTTCCATTCCTCCAGCGAAACCGTGCCGTCCGCGTCGTAGTCGATTTCTATCATCATATCTTGCAGGATCTGGAATAAAATTATATTTCCCAGATTCTGCCCGCCGGTCGCAGCGGCTTCGAAAAAACGTTTTCAGGACACGTTTCCACGTCCTCGAAGTAGGGAATTATTAGTCGAGTTATAACGGAAGGATGGTCGGTTCGGTCTTGTAAAACGTAAGCCCGTTGAAAGCGAACAATCCGGCTACTTACCGGCTTCAGCTCTGTGACATCCCAGCCGAGGTACTCCGCGACATTCATCATTTGATTTACGATGCAGTCCATCTCCTAGATACACGTGATAATGACGTTAGTAACAACGATAAAGAACCGTTGCATTGATCGGATCGGATTGGATTGAATGTGTGATGCGATATTTCCGATGACAATGTGACGTTACACGTCGCGTATATAATTTAATCCTATTCAATTATAACTCATATCTTATTAAACTTCGCGCAAGCTGCGCGACATACTATTATATTATTGATCATTAATTCCCGCGTGTATATACATATGTTGAAACAATTTAAATACGTTTTTTCCTAATACTTTTGTTTATTCCTATTTGTGCTTATCAAAATGTTACGTGTTTTTCTTTTAAAAGCCCGTACGCTCCAGCTGAACAGATCCGAAGTAAAAACAGCGCCGCGTTTTCATTTCCATCTCTCTTCTCCCGCGATTCCGTTATGGGTACCGCGAATATTTATTGGTGCAGCACGCAATGTCTATACCGCGATATCAGTGATTTATTCAACGTGAGACTCATTATGCGGCGACGCCGGTTGTCATTTTCCAGACATTCTTCTCGGCCGTAATTTCACGTCATATATGCGCGCGTATTTAAACCCCCTGCGTTTGAATGACGGATGCACTGAACATCCAAGCACTTGATGTCATAAGCAATTTCACATGCGAATTTTGCCTCGAAATTATATTACAGCATTCGACAACAGAGGTTCCGCGGGAAGGTAGAATTTCGCGAATAATCCGAGGCGTTCTGCAAAATTACTGCCGAAAAGGAAACAGATACCTCTATAATTTTCATTATTTCAATAACGGCAGATTTTAGTTACAAATTACATTCATGAAATGATCGACAAAGGATTAATTAGTGTTAATGATAGTTTATCGGTGCGTTCTGCACTATTCGCGATAACTATTACATTACATCGCCAATTATATTCTAAAAATCTATCGCTGCGGTGCGTAATCAAGCGACGTTGATACAAAATAGATTATTATTCCCGCAACATCCGCGCGTATTGCGGCGATACATGTTAGTCAACACATTCGCGTGGCTTTCTGGCCTCTCTCTCTCTATTGCCAGGGGGTCAATGATGCGCGTCATTAAAGCAACGGAAATTACACTCGTTCTACGTAATTCACGTTGTAACGGATCGCACGGGGTACATGTCAATTGACGTGCCTATTATGGGCGCGGCCAGCGGCATACAAGTATTTACCTCTTCTATTAATATCAACTAGATCTATTCTATACTACTATTGTTACTTAAGCAACAAAGGTCAATCTATTTTCGCCGGAGAGGGAGGGGGAGAGAGAGAGTTCAGTTTTGCCGATAGAAATTGTAATTAGAATCGTTTTGCGAGTAGGCGGTGAGAGTATTTATATCGCGCGCGGTTATTTATTCGCCGTTTGCAATTATTTTATCACGCGATGATGGTTCGACTTTCGTGACAATGGTATCGCCGACAACGAACGATTGTTGCACCTAACGCATGCAATGTTGTGTTTGCACGCACGTGTATCACCGTGATAAGCACACGCGCGATGATCCGCGTAGACGGAGATAACGTTTGTTCTTTACTTACGTTCGTGTCAAGGACGCCGTTGCCGTCCGTATCATACAGCCGAAACATAACTGGAAAAAAAAACAAAGAAAGAATTATTGGGTTAACGCAAGTCGAAACTGCCGCGCAACAAGTTGCAGCTTCGCTACAAAAGTTCGAGCGGCATGGACTTGTAACAAGTGCGGCGGAAAATCGAGAATGACTGCCGACCGGCACGCGAGTTCCCTCGTAAATTCTGTATGTCATTCGTCTCTTTTTCTTCTCAATTGCTTTTAAACGGCGGGATGTCTGATTAGTTACAGCGATTCGTGATTCTTCCGCAACTTTTTGTTTATCGAAAGAATAAACAGAATTTCTGTTCTTTCGACTCTTGTTAGTTTTACGTACTACTTCAACAGAAATCTCTTCAATATATCGCACTGTCTGTTTATCTCCATCGAAATATTTTATATCTTTTTTTCAAAAAGCATATAAGTTTAATCAATTGCGCGTGAAAAAGCGGACGATTTTTGCAGAAAGGTTAAACGCTGGGTTTTCTAATTTGAAAATATTCGCGTTGATATCGCATATGTTTACGGAATAATTTTTCGCTATTTAGTGCGCGTATACGAAATATTAGTATCCGACGACAATCTTCTAAAAACGAACGGGATTCCGCGCGTGATTTATGCGCGGACATGGTTTTGATTATTCAGGAAACAACCGTGCAACCATTATAGCATCGATCTCGACGATAGAAAACAACGCGGGATTTATTTCAAAGCATCGTTGATCTTCCGCTAATGAATCATTCGAGATGAAAACCCGCGCGAGCAGGACGGTATTAGTTGCTGACAATTACGTACATTCCAGTTTATCCTCCGGTCTTCCGGCTTCCAAGAGGGAGAGATAACAAACGATGTCTTTGAGGCTGACTTTAACGGACTGGACATCTATTGTGCTCTGCTTTCTAACAAGGTGTCTCATCTCTGGAAAACAGAAATTTATTTTCAACTTGATCGGATATCGCATTAGACATATTTCACAATTACCAGTCAGCAGGATACAAGTCACTTACGAAATAACTTAAATTATCTAGCGCGTTAGAAATCGTAAATTTACGCAAAATTATGTTTATATTATTAAATTACAGTAGAATCCTAAAATTTGCAAGAATATTACCGTAAATTATCTGCAGAAATTATTCTATTTAATTTCACTCTCGATCTTAAATATGCTTCATTTTCACCGGGATTTTCCTTTGACGTCGTATTTCGCGGAAGAGTAGCCGTATTTTCAAATCTCAAGACACCTGAATGTCCGGCACAGTGAAAATTGCCAGACTCACAATAATGATAATCCTGTCCCATATTTCGCGGAAAATTCACGATGCACTCGCGCGTTAAAGCGAAACCGGGAAATCCAAGGCGATTTCGGCCGGACGATCGGATCGTATTTTTAGATGAATGTCCGGCGCGGACTTGAGTAATTGTACCTAAAAGTCTAAAGAACCTGTTGCTTCGACCGACGCAGCGCGGTTGTCAATATGTGTAAGTGATGAATTGGTCTTATTATAATAGACTGTTAGTGTATAGCGGCCCGAGACAGGTCGACGACGCTTAGCTCGTATTTCTGGATCGTCTATTTATAACCAAACCGCCGTGTACTTTTGCATGAATCAACGCGGCTCCATGTCGATTCGCTTGCATGTCGATGAAATTTATTCTTGCGCCGATTTCAAAAACCGCATTGTCCAGACGCGAGAAGAAATTCGTTTCAATAAATTCGGATTTGGAACGAACGACAAACGTGGAAATGATTCCTACGCTCATTCGTGATAATAGAGACGCGACGGTTGATGCGAAATGCATTTTGCGTTTTCACGCAAATTGAAATCAAACTTTCTGAAATTGTACCAGTTTCAATTTTAATCAATGTCTTGACTCGATGATAATTTCTTAATTTTATTTTCGATCAACTTCGTCTGCATAACGGAATTAATTAGCTCGTAATAATTTAGCATTTGACATTTTCATGTGCCGTCCATATAAAACTATATCTATAATTTCATGTCAAGGAATTCGTATTCGAATGTACATCCCATCGTAAGGAAATATATTCTCTATTAAAAGAAAAATTGTCATATAATCACGACAGTTCAATTTCTTCGCTGTTATTTTTGGCCGATCTCGCGTCTTGCAGAAGTAATTTTGCGCGACGATGAACAAGTTAAAAATAAACTTTTGCACGAGACGACGCGTCGCGCGACTAAGTTGCCTTAGTCATACGGTACTGTACATTTTTTTTCCACGCTCGAACAATCCAATTTGTTCCGAATGAAAGGTGCAAAAGAGCTTCGATAACGATGTCTGGAAAAAAATGTAAATTATTCGCAAACGCGACACGCTCATCGATTGTGAACACGACGGGCTAATCGCCGTGACGTACGAACGCGCTGCCAAAAATTTCGAACATATACGTCGAGTCATTTATTATTCATCTAATGTTATTCATCTAATAGCCATATTATTTATATTTTGCGCGGCAAAATACACTGTACTTATTTTTTTCTCTCAATGTGAATAACCAATTTAGTCAAGATTTATCGACGATAATTTTATAACCATATAATCGTTGCCATAGCGCGCTTTATTTCCCATTAATGAAAGTCCGTGACAATTACGAGCAACGAGCGAGTTTAGTAAATTGAACTAATTATCATTTGCGGACGCTAGCGTTGGTTATTTGGTTTAGTTGATTCCACATGATAGGTGACATGTTTACCGCATAATACGCCGATTAAAAAGGGATCTCGGAAATGTTATTATAAATTTTGTCATGAGCTGGAACGTGATTATCTAAAATTGCTTGTTGATAATTCCGCGGGATTGATCGTACAAATATTTCAAAATGATTTAAACGCTTTCTAGAATGTTTCACAGCCGTTTTTATTTCGATTGTAAATATCACGAGGAGGAAATTTATCTCTTTTTTTCTCGCAATACAAAAGTCACATAACATAAAATTGATTGCACAAGCAAATTTTGTTTAAAACCTCGTGGAAAATTTCTCTTAAATATTGTGCGGTTTTATATTCGATATTCGATCTTTATGATACTTTATGATCATTTCTCACCTTCCTTCAGCTTCACTCCCGATACGTCTGGTAATTGAACCATCTTGCTTTTTACAATCATTAAAGAAGGGAAATGTTTCTTGAGCACTGAATCGGATTATCCAATCTTCCCGTGTCACGTTGTTTAACTAGAGTCGAGTGCAGGATGATTCGACGATCAAGCCGCGATCGACGCCAATATGCGATTAATGATTGAGTCCAGATACACTTGTTGCTTCTTCTACGACTCGAGAGTCACTGAGCGGCGTGGCTGAAACTCACGCCGCTAAGAAACTGGTATCATTTTCTCGCACACACACTTGTGACGTCATTTATACCGGATGATACCAGTGGTGCACAGCTATTTCGGTGGCGCCGACACGCGCTACGCAAACTCGCGTATGTCGCGCGAGTAATTCGAAGCGCGCGTTGTCTCATTCCACGCTACTCGCGATCGATACGGTAGTTCATTTAGCAATTAGTTCATTAACCAAGGCGGAACATAAAGTGACGTTGCATCCGTTCTCGTTAGTGGCATTTTCCTATACAACAAGGTGTTCAGCGAAGGTCTTAAAACGAATCATGACAAAACAATTAAAATGCGCAGGCCCAATTTTAACTTGAACACTCTGTACATTTCTACATTTGAATGAGATAAAATTTTAGAGAATACAGGAAGCGCAATTAAAACGGTAGAAAAAAGGATTTACGATCGCTACGGATGATGCGAAATAGATCGTTAAATTTGATCGCCGCGAGTCCGATGGATGAATTGATGGATGGGACACTCGTATTTTCATCCGTGCATCGGTCGGAGTAATTTTTCCTGTTTTCTTATTCTTCTCGCGTGATGTATTTTACGGCCCTTTTTATTACGACGCGAGCACCTGAAGGCGACTATTCATCTTCCGATTCATAAAAGATGAGAACGAGTTTGACGATAAGCTCGGCAACTTGGAAACGGCTTGAGGGCGCTGTAGCGCTATCGGGGACTTTGATTCGTCATAATCCTCTATTTTCGGATTCGATGTTTCCCTTTCATTTTTCACGAGTCGCCTGTACCGAAAGACGCGCGCGCGCGGATAGCTTCAACCCGGGATTTCATCACCTCCGACGATGTATTTGACGCGGGAGCGCACGTGTTTCACGAGAAGACGATAAGATCAGACTCGTTCTTCAAACAAACTCGGAAATAGAAACGGATCGAATTTTCCCAATCGTGTATACAGTCTTCCGTACGTCATGACATCTCGCGAGGATCAACTCGTCTCACGTCTCACGTAAATTGTCGTGCAAAATCCAGAATCTAAAATAGCCAATATGCATTTCCTGCATCGCGCCGGGAAGGCGCGGGAGTTTGTGCGCGCGATCGATGCCACGGATCGCCGCAGACGCGAATAAACATTTCCCTTAAATCCATAACGCAGGCATGATTATTTTCGTCACTTACTGGCGGCGTTTTCATTTAGAGCAGACATAAACAATCGTTATGTTGATGTCTCGCGTACGTGCGCGATTCGGATCGATCGCTTTTTGCATGCGCTGAAAAATCGACGGGGAGTCGTTTTTGTCGCTAAAACCGTCGAATTTTGCATACGCTCCTTATATTGATCAACCGTTGTTTTTCCACATCCGCGACACGCAGTAAAAATATCTCTAATAATGAGATTATCGAATATCGGACAGGAGTGCGCGATACGGCGGGGATAATAAAATGCCACAGCGGAAATTCGCGGAAGCGCATAATGAAGCGAAGATGACTGCGGCCGATATCGTAAAAGCGGCATGAGGGGCGGTGGTATATCCGCGCGGTATTGTGGTCGTATTTTTTCGATTACGTCGACTGTCGCTCCGATATGGTGAAGCACTCTTCTGAAAGAGATGTCACGTTTCCCCCTTCCCCCCCCCCCCTGAACCGTAATTCATCCGGCATTTACGATCTCAGGCTTTGTTTGAGAGCAACGCGCCACTGTAAGATCGATGGGCGACCGAAATGGACCCTTTGTCATGCCGCTGTAATGCGATTTCTCCCCCTTCATCTCCCACATCCTTCTCCCCCCCCCTCCTCCTTTCTGTGGCAAAAATGAATTTCGCATCGTGCACCGAATTTCACGGATATGCGGGTTCACGTACGACGGGAGGGAAATCTTTTAAGCGGGACGACCCGGCGTCCTTTAATCCTGTATTCATGTAATGCCCCGTATAACCGCTCGGGAGAGACTCTAAATGCAAGATATCTGAGAGAAGATATCCGCGAAGAACCTCGATTCTTCATCGGAAGCTTCTGAAACGTAAACTCGGAACGTCTGAAGTGAAGAGAGCGAGAAGACTGAAAGAGAGAGAGAGAGAGAGCGAGAGACGGATCGTTCCTGGTGAGCGAAAGCTCGTTAAAAAGGAATCACGCTGGGATCGGTCTTTTAGCGAGGTACAATTTCCGGATTAATGAACGACGGGCGGATGAAAAGTATCGCGGGTGGATTAATGCGACGCAAGGAATCGAATCCGGGAGCAGAAATCCACGCCCCGCGGTGATCCCGTGATCTCGCCGCGGCTGGTTCCGCGCTTGCGAAATGTTATTGCTCAATGTACCGTTTGTATTGGATTCGGCGATTCGCCCCCTACCTTCCAATTTCCCGTTGTTGACGAGGAGGGAATTGTTCGACTTCCTGGACGAGTTCCGCGACATTTGGCTGTGACTCGGACTGCTGTCCGTGCTCTTCTTCTCTAGTACATCGTGACAGCTGTATGACGTGTGTGTGACGGTCAGCATTGGATGCACGCTTCCTGAATCGTCCGTGTAATTGCATGAAACATACAAGAAAAACAAACAGCATGACCGATCGTTTCTGCCTCGCTGATCTTGCATCTTGATATACGAGGCGCGGCGCTTTGAAAAGAAAGAGAGAGAGAGAGAGAGAGAGAGAGAGAGAGAGAGAGAGAGAGAGACTCATCGGCCAAATATTCATTACTCGACAGTCCAAAGTTCTAATATGCTCGGAGGCTTTCCGAGAGTTTGTCTTCAGAGAAACATATCTGCTTACGGAGCATCCGAGATTTTTCTCGCTTTATTTCCGTCAAGAGAACCGAATAACAAAAAGTAATTTTGGTATTTCTTTCTGATAAAAATAACTTCTTCCATACATAATACTGTATTTATGGATTTAAAAAAATATGCACAAGATTTCTTCAAGATATATTCGGAAAAATAAAACTCCTGGCGTCTTTGAACTCGCCCGTTAAAAAATCGCAAGCCGATATTTATAGACAAAACGAATTTACTTTAACAAATGGCGCTGTCAGCGCAGGAATCTTCATTCAAAGCACCTTTGGATCGGATCGATCGCTATTTCTCCGCCATTTCGAAGCGAACAATAGCATTCACTGATATGTGATGCAAGGGGGGGGGGGAAAATTCGAGCCATCAGAGTCCTTATTTTCTTTTTGCCTACCGTTGACCTATTTTATTCGATCGTAGGAGTATTCGCTTACTGTAAAAATACAGCCTGAGAAGCGGATGTACCGCGAGCGCTGCGGGCACAAATGGAGAAGAGAAACGTTCGCATTAAAACAGGATTAATATTGTGACCGTTTCATATTGCTTGACGGCGCGCTTATTGCTAAATCGTAAATTTAATTTCGCTAGTTGTGAGTTTTTTCAGCTAACCAATAGCGAGCTCCCGCGAACGATCGCGCCAACAAAATTATATAGCTGGTTTTCACTTGAAAAAATAATTAGCCAAGAAACTACATCGTAACGTCACACGTCATTCCGTCATTCCGCAATGAAGCGATAACGCAACCGTCGCGGCAGACAATTAATTTCGCCATCGGCGAAACAATCGCGGGTTACACTTTACCTGTTCGCGTCCTGGAGAGTTCGCTCTCCGTCCTGTGATGACCCAGCGCCTGCAGTTTTTCCGTGATGCCATGAATTTTCTCAGCCAGCGTGGACCCGCCGTGACTTTCCGACGAAGTTCCGCCGGGTACGCCGGTGCTATTAATGTTACTGCTGGAAGTCGTGTGCGACGTAATTGCGGCGCAGGCGGTCGTCGAGGAGAGCACGGCCATCTCCTAGGAACCGACAAAAAACGCGGATAACACGCGGCTTTTAATTCTTCGCGCACTCATTTACGAGTATCTCTTGTTGTTGCTTTTCTTTTTTTTATACCGGAAGCGTGTGCCCGCACGACGCGACACTTGTAATTCATTGCTTCGTGCAAATTCCTTCTTTTTCTGTCCGTCCCTTCGCGTGCAATTCGCGCAACACGAGCGCTTATCGTTATTCGCGATAATAAACGGAGCGTCTTAACTCATGTGTGTCGCCGGTAATTTTTATTGATCCGAAAACGCGATGCTTACTTTGAAGGCTTTGCCATCCACTCCACGCGAGCCCTTTTTGACGAATGAGAGGAAAAGATGTCGACACAATTCATCCGGTGTCTCGATCTCCAGGTACGAATTCAGAAATTTGCGGAAGCCCTCGTAGTCGATGTCCTGAAACAACAGGAAAAAACGAGATTTAATGACTTTCTTAAAGAAAAAAATAATTTTGCTATGAAAAATTATAATGCAATTAAAAGCATAGCATAATTTTTACGAAACGTAAAATTTTAACTACACGCAATATAGGTTGGCGTAATTGATTAACTATATACCTATCAAGTAGGTGTAAAAGATTTGTCGGATTCATCAAATAAGATTGAAGACAGATATGCAAAGTTTTTAATGAATTTTGATGAACTAAAATAGTCGGCATTGGCTTCATAACAGTTTTCATCTGGAAACAAGTTTTTACATGTCCGATTTAAAAAGCTCCGAGCTTTCATCAAAACGAAAATCGATAGCTTTATTGAAAATAAACCTTCACGGAGAAGCGACGAACCTTTCACGCCAACCTGATACTTTTTATTATCTATCTGTAATAGAAGCGATGAAAAACTTGACATATATCTTTAACCGTGTCTTTTAGAGAAACGTTTTTATTAAATTCATCAAATATAGGATATGGACATTAACAATAACCGCCGGCTTAAGAGCTCGAAGTATCGATGATCGAATTTCCATGCCACGCTTTCTCACTGTTTTACAAACGATAGTTGCAGTAATAGAGAGCAATTCTGCCACGGCTACCGCAGAAAAAAAAGGACTGCCGTTAATTAATCGGGTATATACGTAAGCCGCTATCTCTCGCGTCCATTTCGATTTCGCTCGATTCAAATGAATTTCATTCAACAGAAGATTAAAGCCCAACGAAACGTGTCGCTGCCACTCTGTGCAATGAGGGATCCGCAAGGTGCGCATTTCGCAAATTGACTGATTACAATTACAATCCGATGGAAGGGACGGCGGCGTTTGGATTCCGCGTGTTCTCGATGAACGGATCGATCGCGCTTAATGCAATTAACCATGCTCCGTTGATTGCTATTCACGGAATTCGTTTCGTCGCGATTGCACGTGTAGATCGTGTCCCTCAAAGCGAGAAGTCTTTCCGCGAAAACTATCCGAGGCTTTCGAACGGCATTAGCATCTTCGTCAGGTGTATTCGGCGAAGTGCAAAGTTGTACGAAGAAATCGCTAAAAAGACGAAACTTGATTTAAGAAAGCTGTGACTGTACTCGAGCGATAATGAAATGGTTCGAATAAACTGCGACACTGACATAAAATAAATTTCTTATTATCGAATCTTTCTTCCGAATGCAGGAGAAAAAAGTAACATTAAAGTACGAAATTTAAGCAACTAAACGACAAGTTTATCGATACATAAGCGTATTTATTGGATGGAATGCAAATCAATTACCTTTACATCACTGCCCGCCGCTATCTGCAAAATCAATTATAATTGAATAAACATAACTAAAGGATGCAGCTCTATGCTGCATAATTAAAACTGCGAAACATGTAAACGTGAAAATTATCACAATTATGAGCTTTACATTCGTTTATTGTATTGATATTATAGTAGAGCAGACGGGGGAGGATTAGCGTTTGTATTTATAAATATTTCTCTGTAATATATTCAGCTGCATACATTCTGCAAATGAAAGTGTACGAAATCAATTATCGACTGACAAACGACCGTAGAAGTATATACAGTGTTATAATTAATAAATGTCGGTCGCGCCGAATGTCGAAAATGTCGGTGCACTTGAAACGTCGCTATTTCCGCGCGGCCTGTTCTTTCACATTAATTAAAGCAGGAACCAATTAAAATGGGTGACGTTCGCTCTCTCCAGGTGCAAAATTAGACAGGAAAGTGAAGTTGCGTGGCATCGTGTGCGACACGATGTGTACGGAAGTTCGCTCGCGCATCTTTGAGCGAACTTTCCCAGGCTGGGCAAAAACTTGGCCAATTTCGGAGGCACGGCTCGCTCGAGCGAATCTGCATAGATATTGGGTCTATCAACCGCGAACAAGCGCGCGCGTCCGCCTCCCAGCGAAAATTCATTTGGCAGTGGAATCCGTGCTCCATCTTGTAGAATCCGGTCTATAGACGGGAGTAGCGGAAATGTGATCTGATACGGGAGGAGCCGCGGCTTATTCCACGACTTTCGCAATTTAATCAGCAATTTTCCGTCCGATTAATAATCACGCAGTATTAGCAGTGACGCGGGATTTGTCCGCGTCATTGTCCATTATTAATTATCAGCCTGCTTTCGAAGATTAATGCTCTGCCTCTAACAATAGCTGACTATTTGCCCACCAAAATAAAGACTAGAAATGCGAATTAAAGAATATTTTAATATAAAAATTTATCTGCGTCAGCGAGAAATTAAATATAAAGATTAAATAAGGATTTAATTTAATCTGGCTTCCATTTTTCGTACAACATATTCGTGTAAATGAAAAAAAATATTCCAAAAATAAATAACAAACAACAATAATACGATAGCAAAGTGCGTAGATTATATTATCCAATTTGTATATTACAAAAATGTTTTTGATTTCTTATTAGAGCAATTTGCCAACTCAAAGATATCAATCATCTTAACTAGTAAAAGCTTTACGTTTTCCGGCGTGTATGTTTCATGATGTAAATTTTTAAGCGGAATCAAATCAAACGAATGAAGTTTCGGAGATGAGATCTGCGAAAGGTTAACCTAGTTTCGAGTTTTATTTGAGTAAATTTGAGAGAGCTACTTTGACATTTATCGATACTCCCAGCCAAGGACGCAGGGCGTCGCCTTTTACCTTTTTTGCTCCGTTAAACCTGAGCTATGAGCAATAAAATCGCAAGCAGAGAATGATCGCAAAGGGCGCGGTCCGTGATGCGCTACCGAAAACATATTTGTAGTCATCGCGAATATCTGGCAAAGTAGGAAAAATATTGAAGCTCGGATCAAGTTCTTCCTCTCTCTCTCTC